ACAGAACCTCCTGCCTGTTGTCAGGACTGCTATTTCCAGGCTGGATTTCTCACTTTGCTGGCATCCAAACCAAACTGAGCTGTGGCACAGCCCAGCCTCATTTTGCAGCTTGCACTGTCACAAACAAAATGTCTTTTGCCTGCACAAAACGTGAGCTGGTGCCCAGCCCTGGGTGGCAGGGCAGTGACACGGGCATCCATCACCTCCTGACATAGGAGCACAAGGCAAGGTCACACTCAGACGTGCCTTGAACTGAGCGTTGTGGCAGATGGCAGAAATTCTGCCCGACCTCTCTGTGCAGTTGCAGATGCCAGTTTTAATGGCCAGGAGCCAGAAGGATAATAAGCAGCACTATTTCTTCTTGGCATTGCCAGCCACCTGAAATCCTTTTCAGTAAACATGTTCTGGGCTAGAAAAAGCTCCGCGCCTCTTCAAGGGGAAGGACATTGCCCAACTGTCACAACTCACTAGGGAAATGGCTGTAAATGATTCTCACTTTTTATTCATTTTGGCAGCTCAATTTCTGGTGATTATTCACTGGTTATGAAAGAACATTGGGACTTCAGTTGCTGGGCTGGAATCTCAGAGAACCTGTGGTGTGACTTTTCCTTTTTAATATATAAAATGACACAGCAATTTATCCTTCATCCATTCATCACCTTAAAACACACAGTGAAAGCTACCACTTGCCTGGTTGTGTTTCAGAATAGAATCAAAGAGCCACTAAGGCTGGAAAAGACCACGAACATCATCAAGCCCCAACACAAACAGGTGGAGGGGTGGAAAGGGACCTGAAGCAACAGTGCTGCTTGCTAAGCATGGTTATGCAATGCAGGCACTGCACAAAGGCAGCTCTGCCTACTGCTGCACCCACCAGTGGCCATGTCAGTAAGAACGTGGGTAGCCAGGCTGACACCACCAGAAGGGGAGCACCATTCTCCTGCTGCCATCCTCAGCATCTGCACATCACTCTCTTTTCCTGCTCGCCACACATCTTCATCTCTCCTTTCCTCCCTGTATCAGTTCTGCAACACGTTTCCTGCTTGCTATTAAAACATCTTTCCCATCATTCCATCTATGACCTTGTCAATCCCAATAACCCGTGGGCATTTCTCTATGCCAGACACATCTCCTCCTTCCACAGAGGCTGCAGCACATAGGACCGCCTGGGACTCTGCACAGCTGCAGAGCTCAGACATGTTTATTTTTACATGCAGTGAGGGAGGACAGCAGTGGTTACCAAAGTATGGGATGACTAATTAAGCCGTCTACTGCTGTGCCGAGTTCAGGCTGGGCAGCAAGAATATATTTGTATTCTTTAACCACAGCAGCTGCCACCTCTTTTCTGCGCCGTTGTAGTTCAGAAAAAAAACAACTTACTGTTCTCATGGAGCAAAGCAAAGAAGCAGGAGCCAAGCAAAGCAATCTGAGCTATCAGCTACTATCTTCAGCCATGAAAAACACGCGAGGCTTTCCCAGCCCAGGGCACTTCCACTTCCTCTGCAGCACTTTGACTAAGCCAGAGTCCCAATGCACCAGGGTATGCACAGTGCTGCAAGGTGTCTGGGGAAGCAGCGACTGCTGCTTGGCCCTGCAGGGCTCAGGCTGTTGGACCAGGTGGTCCTGGAGGGTTCCTTCCAGTGGATCCATTCTAGGAATGGCAAAGCTTTTCTTTAGAACAGTCTTTCCCTACTCAAATTCAGTCATTTTGGGTGTACAGGTTAGAAAGGGAAGGTGGACCAGAGCCAAAGGGTTTTTTATTATTATTATTAAGTCTCAAACTGTAAAGCCATAAAACCAGAGGGGATGCTAGAATTCCCTCTAGGTTCACATTTCCTTCCCCAGTGGACTGCAGAAAGCTGCCTCACCTTTGCTGATGCAGGCACCTGTGTCTGGCTGAGCAGATACAGCCAAGGGTTAATGAAGCTAGATGGCAAATGCAGAGACTGCTTGTTACAAGGGCAGTGCATGATAGGTGAAGCAGCTTCAGCCAAACAAAGAGCACAGGCATGTCAGCAGCTGTCAAAAAAATTACAGCCAGGCGATGTAGAAGGTTCAGCAATAAACACAACTAAAGAGTGACAAATAAAAACATACCGAGTGCGTTACACATCCAGTGGAAAAATCTATGGGAACTTTTTATACTACACCCTGGGGCAAAGAGGAAATTATGCCACAACAATAAGAGCTCTCAGCAAAGTCAGCTCCGACTCCAGCTTAGCAGCAGAGCTGAAGAAAAACCTCACTGAGGGAAAACAGGATAATGCTGGCTCCCAAAATCCACAGGCTGGAACCATGGATTGCTACAGCAGAACCATGGCAGCTTCTGCATTCCCAGCCTCTCCCAAGGCATCAAAATAGCCCAAGTCTGGGACTCCCAAGGAAAATGCTGTTACACCCTGCAGAGGAATGTTCCACCCACAACTGTTGTTTCCTCCCATAAAAGGATTGTTAGTGAGTTAATTTCTGGAGTTCACAGTATTGTCTGCAGATTTCTCCACTGAAATATCTCACCAGGAAGGGGAAGCCAAACAAGCCAGACTATTTTAAGGCTCCTGCACTCGGAGGAAATTCTAGGGCAAAATTTCAAAGGCAGATGCTTTGAACCGAGACACTCCACAGAGACAAGAGAGCATTCCTGCCTTTAGAGCCACTTAAGTAACTCTTTCGGGCCACATCTGTTTGACTTTTTTTTTTTTTGTAGATTTAAAAGGTGCTTTTTCTAACACCTAAATGCCATTTGATACAAGCACATAATGAAGACTACTTGGGAAACTGTTTAAAACTTAAAGGCTAATGATAAAAAGCTGCTCTGGCATCCTTCCCACACCAACCATTCACCACCCAGACTTGCTTCCTTGTCTCACCCCAGAGATGGGACACAAATGTCATCCACTGCCACACCACCAGCACAGGGGACTCAAACACTGGCAGTGCAGGGGCTCAATCTGCAATGATTTTGAACTCACTAAACCCTGAGGTCTCTTTTTGCTTAAGGAGCATGGAGAGCACGCTCCCACAGCTGCTTTCCACACACTCACCGCTGGGCCTGATGGATTCAGATTGTTCTAACTGGGAGAACAGCACACAGCATTATTCAGACAGCTCTGCATTGGTAGCACTCCATTATCTTGCAAAACACCACTTTGCTCCGAAAAGCAAGGCTGGGCTCCCCTCTCCTGGACAGCTGTGAAGGTGCAGCTCTCAGCAAGGCTGAGGAAAGCTACATTGCTGGCAGCTTTGGTAAATGACACTCAAAGAGAATACAAACTGTTATAGGCTAAATAGCCTTGGTTTGTCTTCTAGGTATCACTGGGTTCCTACTATGCTAGCAAAATTATATGTAATCCCAGGGATTTGGGCAGTACTTGAACCAACAGCCTGCATGAGACTCCCAGTCCTCCATTTGGCAGTTCAAGCTGGCAGGAGACAGAAAAGCCAAGGCTGAGTGCCCTGAATCAGCTTCTCTTCCACGGCATGTGCTCTGCAAGGACAGTAGCTGCTTATGTGCCCCGTTTGGGTGCCCCACACATACACAGTGCTGGCACAGTTAACACGGACAGCACAGAAGGGGGCTTGGCAGGGAATCTCTCCTGGCTCCCTTGGGCTCAAAGAAGAACTGTTTTGCTGTCCTACCCCTGCATCTGAGATTGAGGTTTCCCTGGGAAGTCAGAGATCAAAAAATAACGATACTATTTCTCCCCCCAGACAAGTACAGCTCCTTCAGCTCTGATACCACGCAGTCAGACAACTCTGATTACCATTTGCATGGTGCAGTGTTAGGTGAGAACCTCACTGAAGGCAAGAGGTATTTGCAAAACACCTTCCAGATCCAATCTCTCAGTAACCACACAGCACTCTGAGCTCAAGCAGCTGCAATAGCAAGGTTCATGGGCACTTCTGTTCACAGCACAGGTTTCCAAGGAAAGGATGGACTGCACCGTTTTGGGGTCTCAGTGTGTCAAGGAGTGGAAATATGTCAAAGCACAGGAATGGCTTTTTTTCTTTCTTTTTTTTTTTTTTGGAATACAGGGCTGCACAAACAGCCCCTTGGAGGTCAGCCAACGATGTATGTTTTAATTTCAGTTGCTTCTGTTCCCCATGCAGAGCTTCTCACCACTTCCTGCTCAGCCATAAGGTCCAGTCTGCACAGAAATTATTCCTTCAACACAACAGACTTTGTAAGAGGGGAAAAAAGAGTGAAATTGGAGCAGGTACTATCACAGGAACAGAACAAATACACACCAGTTGCTACTGCAGCAAGGAGTAGAATTGCTGGAGAAGCCCTTCTGGATAGGCAATGACCCAGCAACTTATTCTTAAATCCAGCACTAAAACACAAGAATCATTGTTTACACAGAAGAAAGTAGAATGATGGATGATTCGAGACATTAATAATATTCCTGGTCTGAACAGATACAGGAAATACAGATGCACCAAATGATACCTCAAAATCCAATATCACAGAGTCCAAGCTCAGTGTTCACAAACACCACAGCCAAAGCTGTGCTGGTCAATACCACAACTCTGAGCAAACACATTTGTCAAGACAAAGACAAATGAAAACCTGGGAGCTGAATAAGATATGCAAGATGAACTGGCAGTCAGTCAGCAAGCTTAGTCACAGCAGCCCTGGATACCTCAGCAAACAACCTAGTTAAAAGGCAAAATATCCTTTTATTGATTGTTACTCAATAGCAAATGTGTTTTTACCTGTTTAATCCAGTTAGTTTATAATTAGCCACATAATGGCACAGCTGCAAGCCTCCTGTTCTTGCTCTTGCTTTATGAAATTGATTTCTCATTTGCTTCCCTTTGCAGGGCGATCAGAAAGGAGGTTAGAACAGCTGCTCCATGAGCACCTCAGGAAGTCAGCAGGGCAAAAGGCAGCAGAAACACCCCCCTCATGATGAGAGCAGGATTCTGCCCGCCAAAGCAACCCTCCATGCAGCATCACAAGATGAGAACCGCTGGCTTTGCCTGCGATGAGGCGCACGTACCTGCCTGCCATCCTGACCCACGTTGGTCTGTCCTCTCACTACAGTTCGAATGCTGTCATCCAACTTCCTGGATAAAATAAAACAAAACTATCGTGTCAAATCCGTTCTCAATATGCCCGATCAGCTGGGAACTTTGAGACTTACACAAGGCATTAAAAAACGGAAAGCTGCTGTTACCAACCAACACCAAACTCAAGTTTCTTCCTCCCTCTTTCTCTCTGTGGGACATCAATATCTTACACAATTTGAAATTCTTGTTGCAAAAATAAAAACCCATTACCTAACTTAACTGGAGCTTCTAGCAATTCTCCTGTTTGCTGTTCCTTGTCAGTTTCAATTTCTTTTTTTCCACATAGCAAAGAGCAGTCTCAATTCTTTCAAGTTGGCAATGCCAAACCGCACAGAAAATCTAAGGGTTTTTTTCCTGCTGACATTTTATATTTACAGTATGAATAACAATAACCAACGAAAGGAGAGTCTTTAACAATTGCTATTTTGACCTCACAAACAAAATAAACTTCTCAGCAACCAAATATTCTGGATAGTTTGTCCTTCCAACCTCCAAACTGTACTAAAATTTGGTACCCGTTGCTACACAGCTCATTGCTTTTCAAAGGTCAACTTTGCAATTCACCAGCTAAAATAACCTGAAGGGGACAAAGAGGAGCAAAATACAAATAACTACCATTAGTGATATAGTTTTGTCTCTTTCTCACTCTATTAGACTTGAGGTTGATCCTGTCCTTGTCTTTTAAGCAAATTAACTCCAATTAGCTACAGTATAGGATGTACTTGTGAAGCCCTGGTGGCAACCAGACTACTCCATCTGAGATGCAATGAAATGGAGAAACACTCACCTTATTTTCAATCTGATTTTGTTGACAACTTCATCGATGTTTGCCAAAGACTACAAGAGGAAAAACAAAAAAGAACGTTACAAGGAGAAAACTTCTGACCCACATCAGCTGTGACAGCTCACCCTTTCTTATGCACCACACTTTACAAGAAGGAGAGCGATGATTTTTACAGGTGGAGAAAAAGACACAGAACAAGTCGGCTGCAGGGCGTCCCTGTGATTGGAGGAGCCGTCCTGAAATGCTGTGGTGACAGTGACCTCCAGTGGGCAGCACAGAGCTCTGGCCTCCCCTGGCTTCCTGCTGAACCCAACACCCTGCACTTGGGTGCAGGAGGCTGCTGGAGATACAGCAGGTATTACTGGGAGGAAAAACAGCTCTGCACTGGCAAAGGGAAAAAGGATGAGCCAGCACCACCAGGAAACTAAACAGAGACAGCTGGAAGCCAAGGAGGCAGCTTCTGCAGAGGATCTTAAACATGGTAACACCTGCAATGGAACTGCCTCCCAGTCCAGCCTTCAGCTGGGAAATACCTCCTTTCACAACTGCCCCTGGGGCTGATGAGGGGACAACCAAGGGTGGATAAAGACCCCGTGGTCAACTCATTCCTTACATCTGAGAAGAAGAAACAGGTTTCAAACATGGATGACTCTTTGGTGACATCCCACACCCAACAACTGTCTCATTTGGTGAAAAATACTGAGGATTCCTAACGATTAACACACAGCAAGTTATGAGATGTACTGCCAAAGTACAGAAAGCTAATTTCTGCCTCCAGATCAAAGCAGAACTTTTACTCCAGCAAACGCTTTGCGTATAAAGAAACTGCACAATGAGTGAACATCATTAAATGCTAATTTAAGAAGTGATTATCATCATAGTATTCAGAGTATACGCACAGTAATGTTTAGAAGAAAAAGCTGAGATATAGGTTTAAGGATACCTTCAGCCAGGTTACCCTTCAAACTGAGGAGAGGGGTGTGCTGTGAGCACAACTTACTTGCTCAGTGGGAAAGAGAGTGTTAATATACTCCACAGCATTGAAATCTGCTCTGTCCAGGGGGTCTTGGCTGGGAAATACCTGAAGGGTGAAAGGAGGAAAAAAAAAACAATCAACAACACATCAACTTTAGTTTTTGTAACTTTATGGAGCACCACTGGGCAACAGCACCATTCTGACCAGGCTGCACAAACAGCAGTGCAGTGTTCTCCAGGGGTCCCCAACCTATTATAGCCCCTCATAACACAGAGATAATGCACATGCATGCTTCCAAAGCCAGCATAAGCATAATCCATCATGTACAAGAAACTCCCAGGACACACGAGCCATTAATTATGCATCTCAAAGCATTCCAGTGCTTTTGTGTTGTCTGGAAGTGGCAGCCCTGCTGAGACTTTGCCCTTCTTTCTGCCTGAGCTTCGGGGGCCCTGTGGTGACAGACAGGGGAGTTGCATTTTGCAGTCATGTAATGCAGAACATGATAAATTGAGAAATGGTTGTACAAGCTGTCCAGAGACTTTGGGCTTGCCCCCCTCACGTGAAAAAGGAGAGAAATAGAATCCGCTGAGTGATTCCTGCAGCCCATGGAAAAGGGAAGGGAGAAGCTGTGGTGCAAACAGATCTCATCCATCCTCAGAACAGCTCAAACAATGGCAATGCAGCTGTCAGGCTTTGTTTGCTCTTTGTCCCCCCACACTAAAACATGCTGCATTTCCTTCTCTGGTACCGTATTTATTCCATGTCTACACAGCCATCAGATCTGCTCTCTGAGGCCAAAACCAAACCCAGTAAACACAGCAGCCCTCTGCAGGCACTCAGAGCCTCCACAAAGCCCGGTGCACGTGCACTGTTCACTGTACGCCTTTTAGAGAATAAAAGCAGTGTTTTTATGAGGATGCTTAAAAGAAAACCTGGAGGTGGTGAAGTCTCTGGGGGTGTTTCAGAAGCGTGCGGATGTGGCACTGAGAGCTGTGGTCAGAGGGCACGGTGGGATGGGCTGAGGTTGGACTTGGGGATCTGAGAGATCTTTTCCAACCTGAATGATTCTGAGATTTATGACCTTATACAACCTACTGATGGAGTACTGCTGTCCCAGCTGTCCAACACAACAGCTGTGCGGCAGCCAAAAAGAAGCAGGAACCTGTTAAGTACACAAGAGGTCATGCCTGAGCGAGGAAAGTGCTCTGACATCAGCCTGTTCTAAGAGCACAGACACAGTACCACAACCAGCCCTGCTCTGCACGTTCAGCTCATCCCAAAGCTCCACAGGCATTAACAGCAGCTGAAGCAAGGAGGTGGAGGGGAGATAAAAGCCAGCAAGGATTTCACTCTCAAAACACAAACAGACACCAATGCTGCCAGCAGCCACACTGGTGGGGGAAGCTGCTACTCCTACATCTTCATCACAAGCCACGAACCAAAAACAACTGCCCTAGGTTTGCCAGCACACTCCCACTTGCTGAGCAAAGTCAGCAGGTACTGCCCAAAACAACGTGAGGAACACTCACAGCAGGACTGGAACACTGGGAGGAATAGGAAGCAATGGAAGGCGCTACCATCCTCAGCAGGCCCTTCATTCAGCCATTCCTGAGGTAAGAACCACCCAGCAGCTCACTGCGAGGTACGCCGACCCCACGTGAAAACAACAGGCGTGCGATTAGAGCCGCGAGGGGCAGAGATGTGGCTCCAGGGACACGGAGCGCACTGCAGGACACGGGGCTGCCACACGCAGCGCTCACCCAGGTCAGCCTGAATTTGGGTGAGCCGCAGCCGCTCGGCTTAAAAAGGCACTGAGAGCGAGGCTCGGCGTTACCAAGAGCCTCCCAGCCCCCAGCAGAGCGGAGCCGCCCCTCACAGGCCGCTCACTGCGGCGGGGACCAACAGCGGACCCGGCCCCGCGCAGCAGGAGCCCGGCAGGCCCTCACCGGCGGCCTTCCGCGCCCGGCCCCGTGCGGAGCGGCTCCCCCGGCCCCACACCTGCTCGATGGCGGCCTGCACGGCAGGAGCCAACTCCAGCGCCGCCTCCAGCCCGGCCGCCAGCTCCAACTCGTCCTCTTCCATGGCGCCGCGCCGCTTCCGGGCCGCGGGGCACGCCGGGATGCGGGAGGACCGCCCCGCTCCTCCTGCCAGGCTGGGGGCGTGGCCTCGTGCCAGGCGTGGCCTATGGGAAAAGCCGCGTCTCCAAAGGGGCGTGGCCTGCCGTCAGGGGCGGGGCTTGCTGGGGCGGGGCTCCCGCCGCCCGGCGCCGTGGTCCCGCGGCGGGCGGTGGCGGCAGCGCGGGCCCCATGTGGCGGACGTTGGCTGTCGCGTCCGCCTTCTTCCCAGGGCTGTTCGCGTTCTGCGTGCGGGCGCTCCGTTGGGCCGCCCCGGGATGGAGCCTCAAGGACCGCGTCCTGCTCAGCGGAAGGTACGGGCGCGGGGTGCGGCGGGGCTGGGGGACCGGAGGGATGGGCCCTGATCCGGTTGGCCCTGATTCGGTTCCCATCTGCTGTTTGTAGGCTGGTGTCGACGGTGCAGGCTACGATGGCCACGGTGTCGGGCCTGACCGTGGTGCTTAGCTGCGAGGATGTGGTGCACGACAGGTAACGGGACGGGGGGGCCCTTCCTGCCCTCCGGAGTCAGTGCGGAAAACCCATAGAAAACGGTCCCGAGGGCGTAAAGGGGCCGGGCGGGGGGCGGCCGGAGCGGCGGAGTGCGGCATCTCCGGCCCTGGGGATGAAGGAGATCCGGTGAGAACGGAGCGGAGCGGAGCAGCTCCCGCTTCCTGCACACAGAGCAGCCCGGGATGGGAAACCATTGCTGGAGAAAGGCACGGAGATGAAATGGGAAAAATCACCAGGCCGGGCTGCCCGGGCTGCTGGTGGGGACGAAACAACAGCGATGGCTCTTAAGCTATGGTCCAGAACAGCAGAGCTGGAGGTAGGGCGGTACCCGGCTGTGCAGGGTCCCGTCTGCTGCAGCAGTGTTGGACTCAGCCCTGCTGGATGCAGGCAGCCCCACGCGGTACCGATAGGGCAGATGAGAAGCCCCAGCCCGGCTGCTACAAAGGTTGTTGGCTTTGGGCAAAAGCGCAGCCCGAGCCCCAGATTTCCTTTGAATCTGGAGGAGCTGCAGCTCCACGCTCAGCAGGGAAGGGCTCAGAGAATGGCAGCGGGACAGGAAGCACCGTGAAGGCTGCCAGCTTATTGACACAGGCAGAGAGCCGTCACGTTGCTGGCACTGCCTCTGCCCTCCAAAACCCTCTGAGAAGTTCAGCCTTCCTGCTCTGCATCTCTGATAGCACTCTGAGCAGGAATACATGCAGGGGAATCCCTCTGGGATGGCAGGAGAGCAGTGAAAGGCTCACTGGGCCCCGAGCAACGTTTCTCCAGCAGCAGTTCCCTACCAGCCCCATTCACGTGGTGTTTTCTGAGGCTCCCTGCAGAGCAGGGGTTACAGCTGCCACATTGTGCAACTGGGATTCCGACATTCTTTGGGAACAGGCATCTGCGTGCAATTATTTCCCAACAGACAAAACGTCTCCCAGGGATTTATTGCTGCTGTTACAGGCTTTGCACTTCACTCTCCAAGGCCTGGGCATCTTTCATTAACTCTGCTCTCTGGGTGTGTTATAAACACTCACCTCTGGGTGGGCAGCTGACACAGACGGTCACAGTGTTGTTCCTACCATCGGATGCAGGGCGTAGGGCAGAGGATTACCTGCTGCAGAGCTGCCAGATGAGCACTGATCTGGGGAGGTGCCACAGCCCCAGCAAACACCTGCCCCAGGCTGAGGGTGCTCCTCACCTCGTGCTGTTTGCACTGTGCCTTTGCTCCTGACGCAGGGCTGATTGCACAGCTCAGGCAGGCACCAAACAGCACCGACTCGATAAAGGCAGCCGTGCCCCACTCAGTGCCTGCGCTCAGGAATCACCCATTGTACCATTCCTGTTTCACATAGCTTTTCTCTGGGATGGCTGAGCTGAAGGTCCTCATCCAGATAAATCAGGGCACCAGGCACCCACCCAGCTCATTGATCATAGAGTTGTTAAGGTTGGAAAAGACTTCAACGGTCAAAGTCCAACCCATCCCCACTGTGCCCACTGACCACATCCCTCAGCACCACATCCCCACGGTTCCTGAACACCTCCAGGGATGAGGATTCCCCCCCTCCCTGGGCAGCTGTGCCACTGCCTGAACACTCTTCCAGAGAATAAATTATCCTAATATCCAACCTGAACCTCCCCTGGCACACAGCGTGAGAACATTACCTCGTGGGCCTCTCAGACCCATTGCTACACATCTGTGCTCTCCCTCCCTAGGCACTGGCTGGCTGTGGAGTACGTCTGGGTCCTGGTTCCCTACATGACCTACGACATCTACGTCATGTACCTCTGCCACTGGCACAAGAGCCGAGAGAAGGGCATAGCAGAGAGGAAGCACTCGCTGAGCAGTGTGCGGAGCTTCCTCCTGCAGGAGCGGCTGATGGTCACCCACCACCTCTTCATCCTCATCGTGCTCACCCCTGTCACCCAGGTGAGGGCCAGGCATGGATGTTGTGAATCCAGACAACTGGGAGCCCTGGCTGGGGGGGATCATAAAATCATTTAAAGGCTGGAAAAGACTTCTAAGATCACCAAGCCCAACCCCAGCCCATCCCACCATGCCCACTAACCATGTACCGTGGTGCCGCATCTCCATGTTTCGTAAACGCTTCCAGGGTGAGGAACTGACATCAGTTGAGAATAAATACAGCGACCAAGAGGGAGCTTTCCTCAAGCTGTGTGTGTTGGATCTGTGCCTGTTACTTGGCTGGCATCACGATCAACACCCTTTCAGCTGACTTTGGAAAGCATCTCTGCTTGCCAGGAGATGTGAGGTGCTCAGTGTCAGCTCCCAGCTCTCCTGAAAAGCAGCAAGGTCCATTAGCAGATCCTTTTGTATGAAATATGCCACAGTGGGGAAGGCCCTGTGTTCATTAATGTTGTTATTTGCAGCACTTCAGGGGAGAGCTTGGAGACTTCTTCGTGGGCTGCATCTTCACGGCAGAGCTGAGCACTCCTTTTGTATCGCTGGGCAAAATCCTCATGCAGGTATGCGAGGAGGGTGGGTGCCATGAGGTGGGTGCCTGGGTTCCTGCTGCCTGCAGGGGATTCTGGGAGCCTGCAGGGGATTCTGGGAGCCTGCAGGGGTTTGCTCCCCTTCCCCACCCCAGGCAGTCCCCCTTGCATTGCTCACACAGCACTCACCTGTGCTCGCCTTCTTCCTTTCCCAGCTGAAGATGCAGGACACGCTGCTGCACAAGGTGAACGGGATCCTCATCCTGGTGACTTTCTTCCTCTGCCGTATTCTCCTCTTTCCCTTCATGTACGCAGCCTATGGCAGGCAGGTGGGAATCCCAGTTTACATGGTGCCTTTCCGCATCCCTCTGCACTGCAACATAGCCAACGCCTCCCTCATCGCCCCGCAGCTCTACTGGTTCACACTCATCTGCCGCAAAGCCGCCCGCCTCTACGGCAGCTCACCTGCTGACAAGAGCAGGTAATGGCTGGCAGAGCACGAGGGCTGGACAAGGGTTGTTCCCTCCCCAGCTCTTCTGCCTGCAAAGTCAGCGCTGCAGGAACCATCGTGGGAGCACAGCAGCGTCGATACCACGAGGCAGCCCTGCTGTCAGCAGTGCCAGCCTCAGCTAGGGGGAACTTTCCTCCCACGCTGCTCCTGCACTTTGAGCAAGGGGGAGGTCTCCCCATAAGCATAACTTATGGGGTTCAGTACTGGGCACCAAACTAATGGTTACACGAGAGGGGATTGTTACAGATCCCCCATCTTTCAGGGCTGATGGCAGCACAGTGAGGCACGGCACAAAGGAGCTTGTGGAGTGGATGCAGCAGGGTAGGCGGTGCTGGAGCGTGCCCAGCCCCAGGCAGCAGTGCTGGGGATGTGGGAGCTGCCTGCTGTCCCTGCTGGGCTCAGATCTGCTCCTCCAGCAGGGAGCAGAGCCAAGCCCCACGATTCTGCACAGCCTGTTCCCCAACAGTGCCTTTACACTACAGCTGCATTCAGCCTCTGACTTCCCCACACCTCACTGCTGCTGGGCACTTGGGACTCTCCACTTAACTCAAAGGGGATTTTCAGTACCACTGTCTGATGTCTGTGGCTGATGGTGTAGGGCAGCTCTGGAGCCCCCAGCAAGATCCTAGGATTGGCTGCACTGCAAGCAAGGCAGGCAGAGGGCCATCGCTGAAGGGTAGGACAAGGGCAGGAGATTGTCCCCATCCCACCAACACAGAGCCCTTCCGTGGCAGGTGATGGCTGGTTTCAACCCCTCTGCCTCGATGCAGTTGCACATGGAGATGCATGCATCTGTCTCATTACCTCTATAAGGTAACTGAAAGCCCAACACATTTCCTTGCCCCTGCTCTCCCTTCAGCTGACACCAGCAGCACTATGTGTGGGTACAACCTGAGCTCCAGCTGCCCCTCCTGCCCCATCCGAGTCTCCCACAAAGGGAGGCCTGCCTGAAGCTGGCAGGGAAGGAATTGGTCAGTGCATAAGCAATCAGCAACACCAGAGCAGGGTGCTGAGCTATGTCCTTAACCAGTTCAGCCCATTTCCACCTTCAGTGCAGTGAAAAAGGGGCAAGGCTTCTCTGCTCACCTTGCACCATGACTGCAGCCCAGCAGGTGTGTACAGGCTGGACAGCAATCCTGCTTTCTCTGAGCACAGTGTAAAACTGAGCAGCCAGGTTTTCCCCACAGCCTCCTGCACAAGCCTGGAGTTTCCTCTGTTCCAGGGCAGCCAGCTGCACCAGCAGTTGACAGACCAGCACCCACTCTGTGCCTTTCATTCTGTCTAAAAGCTAAAAAGGATGGCTGGAAGAGATCTAGTCTGGGAGAATCATTTCTTTTGGGTGTCAGATCTTGTCCCAGCCATGGCTGTGCAGGCTGGAAAGAATGATAATAATTTTAAAAAAGCCTCTTCCAGCACGCAGTCGGTTATTGCACAAGCACTACTGTTACATTAACCATTGAGACAAGCTGCTGTTATAAACCGCTTGATACCCATTGCAAATATTTGTATACTGCTGTTTTTAT